CAATCAAGTGACATAGGCTAGTAACCTGGATTAAAAAAACAAATCCAACAATATGCTGCCTTCAGGAGACTCATATGATAGGAAAAGACATACACAGGCTGAAGGTGAAAGGTTGGGAAAAATCATACCACTCGGAAGCAAGCAGGAGTGGCCATACTCACATCGAATAAAATCAACTTCAAACCTAAGTTAATCAAAAGGGATAAAGAAGGACACTATATACTGTTAAAAGGAACCATCCACCAACAAGACATAACAATTATCAATTTGTATGCACCAAACAATGGTGCTGCAACGTTCATAAAACAAACTCTCCTCAAGTTCAAGAGTCAAATAGACCACAACACAATAATTATGGGTGACTTCAACACACCACTCTCGCCATTAGACAGATCCTCTAGACAAAAGCTGAATAAAGAAACTATAGAACTCAATAACGCAATCAATAACCTAGACTTAACCGACATATATAGAATATATCAACCATCATCAAGTGGATACACGTTCTTCTCAGCAGCACATGGATCCTACTCAAAGATAGACCATATATTATGCCATAGGGCAACTCTCAGTAAATATAAAGGTGTGGAGATAACAGCATGCACCATATCTGATCATAATGGAATGAAACTGGAAATCAATGATAAAAGAAGGAAGGAAAAATCCTGCATCACCTGGAAAATGAACAATATGTTACTGAATGATCAATGGGTTACAGAAGACATAAAGGAGGAAATCAAAAAATTCTTAGAGATAAACGACAATACAGACACAACATACCAGAATCTATGGGACACAATGAAAGCAGTTTTAAGAGGGAAATTCATTTCCTGGAGTTCATTCCTCAAAAAAAGAAAAAACCAACAAATAAATGAACTCACACTACATCTTAAAACCCTAGAAAAGGAAGAGCAAAACAACAGCAAAGGTAGTAGAAGACAAGAAATAATTAAAATCAGAGCGGAAATCAATGAAATTGAAACAAAAAAAAAATTGAAAAAATTGATAAAACTAAAAGTTGGTTCTTTGAAAAAATAAATAAGATCAACAGACCCTTAGCCATGCTAATGAAGAGAAGAAGAGAGAGAACTCAAATTACTAACATACGGGATGAAAAAGGCAATATCACAACAGACACTACAGAAATACAGAAGATAATTAGAAAGTATTTTGAAACCCTATATTCCAATAAAATAGAAGGTAGTGAAGGCATCGATAAATTTCTTAAGTCATATGATCTGCCCAGATTGAGTCAGGAAGACACACACAATTTAAACAGACCAATAACAAAGGAAGAAATAGAAGAAGCCATCAAAAGACTACCAACTAAGAAAAGCCCTGGACCGGATGGGTATACAGTGGAGTTTTACAAAACCTTCAAAGAAGAATTAATACCAATACTTTTCAAGCTATTTCAAGAAATAGAAAAAGAAGGAGCTCTTCCAAATTCATTCTATGAGGCCAACATCACCCTGATCCCAAAAGCAGACAAAGACACTTCAAAAAAAGAAAACTACAGACCAATATCTCTAATGAACTTAGATGCAAAAATTCTCAATAAAATCCTGGTGAATCGAATACAAAAGTATATCAAAAAAATTGTGCACCATGATCAAGTAGGATTCATCCCTGGGATGCAAGGCTGGTTCAATATATGGAAATCAATAAATGTTATTCACCACATCAATAGACTTAAAGATAAGAACCATATGATCATCTCGATAGATGCAGAAAAAGCATTTGACAAAGTACAGCATCCCTTTATGTTCAAAACACTAGAAAAACTAGGGATAACAGGAACTTACCTCAACATTGTAAAAGCTATATATGCTAAGCCTCAGGCTAGCATCATTCTAAATGGAGAAAAACTGAAGACATTCCCTCTAAAATCTGGAACAAGACAGGGATGCCCTCTCTCACCACTTCTATTCAATTTAGTTCTTGAAGTACTAGCCAGAGCAATTGGACAAAAGAAATTAAAGGCATAAAAATAGGAAAAGAAGAACTTAAATTATCACTATTTGCGGATGATATGATAATATATCTAACAGACCCAAAAGGGTCTACAAAGAAACTGCTAGAGTTAATAAATGAATTCAGCAAAGTGGCAGGATATAAAATCAACACGCATAAATCAAAGGCATTCCTGTATATCAGCAACAAAACTTCTGAAATGGAAACGAGGAAAACCACTCCATTCACAATATCCTCAAAAAAAAATAAAATACTTGGGAATCAACCTAACAAAAGAGGTGAAAGATTTATACAATGAAAACTACAGAACCCTAAAGAGAGAGACAGAAGAAGATCTTAGAAGATGGAAAAATGTACCCTGTTCATGGATAGGCAGAACTAACATCATCAAAATTGCGATATTACCCAAAGTTCTCTACAGGTTTAATGCAATGCCAATCAAAATCCCAACGGCATTTCTTGTAGAAATAGATAAAGCAATCATGAAATTCATATGGAAAAACAAAAGACCCAGAATAGCAAAAGCAATTCTAAGCAGGAAGTGTGAATCTGGAGGTATAGCGATACCAGATTTCAAACTGTACTACAGAGCAATAGTAACAAAAACAGCATGGTACTGGTACCAAAACAGGCAGGTGGATCAATGGTACAGAATAGAGGACACAGAGACCAATCCACAAAATTACAACTTTCTTATATTTGATAAAGGGACTAAAAGCATGCAATAGAGGAAGGATAGCATCTTCAACAAATGGTGCTGGGAAAACTGGAAATCCATATGCAACAAAATGAAGCTGAACCCCTTTCTCTCGCCATGCACAAAAGTTAACTCAAAATGGATCAAAGAGCTTGATATCAAATCAGAGACTCTGCGACTGATAGAAGAAAAAGTTGGCTCCGATCTACAAATTGTGGGGTCGGGCTCCAAATTCCTTAATAGGACGCCCATAGCCCAAGAGTTAATAACAAAAATCAACAAATGGGACTTACTTAAACTAAAAAGTTTTTTCTCAGCAAGAGAAACAATAAGAGAAGTAAATAGGGAGCCTACATCTTGGGAACAAATCCTTACTCCTCACACTTCAGATAGAGCCCTAATTTCCAGAATATACAAAGAACTCAAAAAAATTAAACAATAAAATAACAAATAACCCAATCAACAAATGGGCCAAGGACCTGAACAGACACTTCTCAGAGGAGGACATACAATCAATCAATAAGTACATGAAAAATGCTCACCATCTCTAGCAGTCAGAGAAATGCAAATCAAAACCACCCTAAGATACCATCTCACTCCAGTAAGATTGGCAGCCATTATGAAGTCAAACAACAACAAGTGCTGGCGAGGATGTGGGGAAAATGGTACACTTGTACATTGTTGGTGGGACTGCAAATTGGTGCGGCCAATATGGAAAGCAGTATGGAGATTCATGGGAAAGCTGGGAATGGAACCACCATTTGACCTAGCTATTGCCCTTCTCGGACTATTCCCTGAGGACCTTAAAAGAGCGTACTATAGGGATACTGCCACATCAATGATCATAGCAGCACAATTCACAATAGCTAGACCGTGGAACCAACCTAGATGCCCTTCAATAGATGAATGGATAAAAAAAAATGTGGCATTTATACACAATGGAGTATTACGCAAGCACTAAAACATGACAAAATCATGGAATTTGCAGGGAAATGGATGGCATTAGAGCAGATTATGCTAAGTGAAGCTAGCCAATCCTTAAAAAACAAATGCCAAATGTCTTATTTGATTTAAGGAGAGCAACTAAGAACAGAGCAGGGAGGAAGAGCATGAGGAAAAGATTAACATTAAACAGAGACGAGTGGTGGGAGGGAAAGGGAGAGAGAAGGGAAACTGCATGGAAACGGAAGGAAACCCTCAATGTTATACAAAATCACATATAAGAGGTTGTGAGGGGAAAGCGGGGCGGGGGGGGGGGCGCGGAACAAGGGAGAGAACTGAACAACAGCAGATGAGGTAGAGAGGGATGATGGGAGGGGAGGGGAAGGGGGATAGTAGGGGATAGGAAAGGCAGCAGAATATAACAGTCACTAATATGGCATTATGTAAAAATGTGAATGTGTAACTGATGTGATTCTGCAATTTGTATTTGGGGTAAAAATGGGAGTTCATAACTCACTTGAATCAAATGTATGAAAGATGATATGTCATGAACTTTGTAATGTTTTGAACAACCAATTAAAAAAAAAAAACAAGCAATAAACTTTTCCTTGAAGCAAAAAAAAAAAAAAAAACATATTGGAGAAAAGACAGTTTCTTCATTATTCCCCATAATACAGGAAAAACTGTATATTCATATACAGAAAATCGAAATTTGATCCACTTTTACCTTATACTAAAATCAACTCAAAGTGGACCAAAGAAATATAAGATGAAATTGTGAAACCACTAGAAGAAACAGGAAATGTCTTAGACAAAGGTAAAGACAATGACTTTTTAGATAGGACCTCAAAAACACAGAAGCCAAAGCAAAAATTGACAAATAGAATTAGAACAAATTAAAAAGCTTCTGCACAGCAAAAGAAACAGTGAAAAGACAGCCTACAGAATGGAAGAAAATATTTGCCCATTATTCACTGACAAAATGTTAATATCTAGAATATTAAGAAGCTCACAAAACTTAAAAAGAAACAGCAATCCAATTACAAAATGGAGAAATGATCCAACTAGACACTTCTCAAAAGAAATTCAAATACTTGAAAAAAAATGTTAAGTATCATTAGCCATCAGGTAAATGCAAATAGAAACTACAATGAGATACATCTCACTCCAGTTAGAATGACTATTATAAATAATAAATGATAGGTACTGACATGGATATGAGAAAAAAAAACTCTTATACACTATTGGTGGGAATGCAAATTAGCATGGCCATATGGAGAACAATTTAGATGTTTCTCAAAAGATTAAAAATAGATATATCATGTGATCCAGCCATCCCACTTCTGGGTATACATACCAAAAAAATGAATTCAGTATATCAAAGAAATGCCTGCACTCCCACATTTATTGCAGCACTGTTCACAAGAGCCAAGATATTTAATCAGCCTTGGTATCCATCAACATATGAATGGATAATGAAAATGTGGCATATATGCATATGGAATATTATTCAGCCATAAAAAATGAAATCCTGCCATTTGCAGAAAAATAGAAGGAGCTAGAGTCTCTTAAGTGAGATAATTCAGATACAGGAAGACAAATGCCAGATGTTCCCATGTGGATGCAAAAAAAAAAAAAAGTCTAAACATAGAGTATCAGATAGCAGAGGGTTGGAAGGGTGGGTAGTAGATTGTTTAAGGGAACTGAATAACAGGTACCAAAATAAAGATAGTGAAGACATTCTAGTGTTCTTCAGCACAGTGGGATAACTATAGCTCACAATAACCTATTATATATTTTATGAAAAACTAAGAGAAGCCCAAAACCTCCAAACAAATTATAAAGAGATGTAAATATTACCCTGATTTGGTCTGTAAATATTATATACACATGTTGAAATATACTGTATACCATAAATTGTTTAATATGTGAATTTTTTAAGATTTAGTGAAGAAATAAAAGAATAAGGGAAAGTTGGAGAGGGAATGGAAAAAGCAAAGCCATTTAGATATGACCTTATATGATTTCCCTAAAGGCTTCAAAGGAGGAAAACAATCTGATTACTTTTTATACCTAAATGTAGTATCTTATGCATGACTGTTACAATTATGGTTTATCAGCATTCTAGAACTGATTTCTGTATTTTTCTTGACTACTGTATGCAGTCTAATGTTATTTCTGTTTAATATTCGTTTCTTAACTGGGGTAGATTCTATGCTGAGAATAGACATACAAGCTGCTTCAGTCAGAGTAAGTTCTCTCAACTGTAACTGGTAAATGCAGGGCTTGAAGGACCATAACCTCAGAAAATAAAATAATGTATTTTATGTTTACATTCTATAAGTGGAATCAGGTGTTACTCTAGTAAAATTTGGTTTTTCATAAATATTGCCATATAAATAATCATATGGTGCTTCCATGTGCACCTCTGATCTATCTTCAGCGTTGCGTGTATCTTTCTGTTCTTGCTCAAATCTGAAACCTAAAGAGAAATGACAAATGATTAGATGCTAAATATGATAAGGTAGATTCATTTAATATGATACTATGGCCAGGTAAGATCTATTCCATATCCCTTTTCACCACTCAGAATAGATATCATATATATATATATATATATATATATATATATATATATATATATATATATATACACACACACACACACACATACATACATATACAATTTTAGTTGTTGATGGACCTTTATTTTATTCATTTACTTATATGTAGTGCTGAGAATTGAATCCAGTGCCTCACACATGTGAGACAAGCGCTCTACCACTGATCCACAACCCACCCAGAGTAGATACCTTTCTTTATATGTTGTTTAACTGAAATCATAAATTTCTGCCCCAAATTTCTGAATTCATCCTATTTTCACCACCATATATTATTGTTCTGCAGGACCTGAGGTTGAGTGAAGTTTGATCTAATAACTAGCTGTTTGATTTGGGGTAATTATTAAAGTTCTTTAAGTCTCAATGTCATCTGAAAGTTGGGATATAATAGCACCTACCTCATCCTAATAAAGAGGGAATTAAATGTGATGGTGCGTGTAAAGAAGTTTTCCTAGTGTTTGTCATTTAGTTCTCTGTAATTAACTATTAGCTCTTTATTCACAAATGAACAGATGCCTTTTTTCTTCTGCAGAGCTGAAGTTCCCATATCTGTTCTGGATTTGACCTGCTTCTTGAAGAGGTGGCACACATTCTTCTCTAATACCAATATCTTCAATTCATCATCTTCACTGGCTTCAGTGATGCAAATCTCCACTATGAGAAATAATTTTTTCTTGTTCTTGTGCCCCTTCTAACTAACATCCTGTATCTTTTCTTTCATGGTGATCTTTTATAACTCAGTAATTTATATAGTTTCTTTTTGTACTTTCCATTCCTTTATATTCTTTGATCAGCCAGTAAGAACCTACTAAGTGTTACACATTGGGATTTCTGTAGCAAAGAGAATAGACAACACTCTGCCCTCTAGTGAAGAAGGTTACCTAAACTGAGCTCTAGAAGACCATCAACAATTAATCCTCCAAAGTGAAAATTGCATCACGTGTTTGAGGTACAGGCATGAAAACAGTGAGGAGCAAGAGGGGGAGCATGTACAAGTAGAAGGCTAGGCCACAGTCAGAGGCAAGGCCATGATCAGTTTAGGCTTTTTTGTGTGGTAGAAGACAATGTAAGGCAGCAGAGTGTGGTCATGTTTAAAAGCATGAATTCTTAGCTAACCTGCTTCAATTAAAATTCTGGCCCTCACACAAATTGTGTGTCCTCAAACAAATCATAGCACCTCCTTGTTTGCTTCTCTGTAAATGCAAATAATAGAACCTGTTTGGTTGGATTGTTTTGAAAACCAAATGAGTTACTACAATGCAATTGCTAAAGAAGAGTTTGTTAGCAAATAGAAGAGTTCCAGTTGTGCTGATTTAAATGTGTAAACTATCTGTTGTGCAGGGAATGGACTGGAGGAGCATCAGTTTGGAGGCCACTGCAGAAGCCTGTGGGGGATGGTACCTTGGACAGTGTGGAGGCAACCAGTTGGAAATAAGTGAATAGGCTAAAGCTAATGATGACTCATATTTATGGAGTAGTATTTTGTGCCAAGGCACTATTCTAAACTCTTTACAAATATTACCTCTTGCTATCTCACAACTGTCAGCTGGGTACTTTTTTTAAATTCTGGTTTTACAGACAAGAAAACTGAGCTACTGGCTTGCCCAGATCACACAGCCAGTAAGCAGTACAGCCAAAAATCAAACCCAAACTACATGTTTGTTAACCCCTTGGTTTACTGCTTTTCATAGAAGATAAGGCAGAACTCACACTCAGATCATACAGTAACCACAATCAGAATTTGACTATGTTAGAATTATTGGTATTTCTGGGATATCAGGATAGGAATTTAGGGATACAGAGAGAACACTGAGTCTCAAAAGAAAAACATCCATAAACAATGGAAATGCAAAACAACTCTGAGCAACCCCACCTTTGTGTGCCTGTGTCCTTGCCTGCAGCTTGCTGATGGGCTGCTGAAAAAGCAACAAAACCCCAAGATAACCACAAGGTGGAGAAACCACTCCTTTGAGAAGCATGTGCATTAAAGACTTTGGTGAATAAGAAATGACCCTAGTCTCCTTATAATAGTAAATTTTGCACACCCCAGTGTGGAAATTTAAAATGCTAAAGAAATGTGATTTAGAAAGTAGCATTATTAGAATAGCAAGGGCAATGTGCAACCACAACAACAATGAGCAGAATTTCATAACCATGCCCTGACTCTACCTCTAGTTCAGTCCCATCTGCTTTTCTACTATAAATGTTAAAACCCCAGAACAAGACAATGTGAGTCACTCTTAAGACTGCCTGCTCTCTGCTCTGAGAAGGTACTTTCACCTTTTGCTTTCTAATAAAGATCTTTGCTAAAACCTGTTTTGTCATTAAATTCTTTTCTGTGATAGTCAAGAATCTGGAAGATCCAAGTAAAGATCTCCTCCACTTCCAGATACCTCCTTAGACCCCTGTACCCCTGCAGAAGATACTCTACTTCAACATGCTGGTTATCACTTTTAGCTTCTCAGTATTCTTGACCACTGGAAGAACAATAGTGGCATAGATCCTAAAAAGTGTTTTCAACATTTTGTGACATTTATTTTGCCAAATAAAGTTTGCCCATTAAAAATCATTGCTGAAGCTGGGAGCAGTGGTGCATGCCTATAATTCCAGCACCTCCAAAGGGTGAAGCAGGAAGATCACAAGTTCAAGGCCAGCCTTAGCAATTTAGCAAGGCCCTAAGTGACTTAACAAGACCCCATCTCAAATTTTTTGTTGTGTTTTTTTTTTTTTGGGGGGGGGGTACAGGGGATTGAACTCAGGGGCACACAACCACTGAGCCACATCCCCAGCCCTATTTTGTATTTCATTTAGACAGAAGATCTCACTGAGTTGCTTAACACATTGCTTTTGCTGAGGCTGGCTTTGAACTTGAGATCTTCCTGCCTCAGCTTCCCGAGCCACTGGGATTACAGGTATGTACCACCATGCCTGGCTCAAAATTTTTTTAAAAAACATTTAAAAAGGGCTATTATTGCTGAAACCATGAGATACAACTTAAAAAGACACACACACTTTATTCAATCCTAAACAAACTAGAAAATTTCATTCTATTCCTAAATAACAGTCTTACATATAAAGGTAAAAATGACTCCTCATATTCTTTTATATCTATATATTGTGTAGGTTACTGAAATTTTGGATATTTAGAAATGTTTACATATGTGAAATGTATAATTATAGTTCATGAGAATTTCCCAAAAGTATTGCTAAAAATCACCTACCTTTATAGTTAACTGAAGAGTTGCTTGTTGCAATTTCCTTCCAGTTTGCAATATACCTAAGCATGTTATATGGACATTAAATGAAATTGATTAGGAAGCAAAAAGTTAATTCATTAGTACATGCTTAGATTAATTATAACAAATAGTCTCAATGTTAAATTCTTAGGACTTTCCTATATCTTAGTAGCTCACATGTACCTAAGGCAATCACCAAGACAAGGGGATGAAGGAGGTATAAAAATGGGGCCTACCATATGTCATAGTAGTATCCTTTTGCCTTCCCCCCAGCTCCTGTCTCATTTTATCCTGTTTCATTCCTGCAAGATCCTCAGTGAGTACCCACTACGTTAGTAGCTAATAATTTTAAATTTGAAGTATAGCAGAAAACCCTCAGAAGGAAAAGCCAATAGAAAACAATAGAAACATTCTCCTTAGTTTTGGATTGCCAGACCTGTTTCTGATATTTTAGAGGAAATTTAAACTACGTTGTTTATGATTTAAACAATAGTGCTGTCTTTGCAGTATCCATAAAATATAAAAGGTAATATTCAAGTTGGGCAAATGCAGCTAACTCTTCAGCTCCCGAAATGGAGGCTGAAATAGTGAGACCATGGTAACCAGAGAAGAGATAAAATAGGAAGAACACATATGATGAGCTGTGAAGATGAGCAGAAGTTCTAAGGCAGATTTCCTGAGACTTATTTCATCTTAGGCCTTATATCCCCTTTTCTAAGCCTCCTTCCTTTCAAATGCACCCAGTCTTACGCATAAATCAGTAAGAAGTTAGCCAAAGCAAGTACTGAAAGGGAGATGGCAGAGAAAAAAATGAGGAAGATTAGAATTGTCACATAACTAACAAAACAACTCTGATGTTCCAAGTATTTAAATATTTGAATTATTTTTATGTCTGACTCCTAAAGTTTTTTGCTATAGAAAGGTATATATTGTCCAATAGTATTGAATTAATAATAAGATATAATAGCTGGCTCCTTCTTATTACTGCTTCCTTTTATTGCTCTACTAACTTTATTCTATGGCCTTATATGGGATACTGCTTGGCCACTTAAAGCATTCTGGAAGACAACAGGTAGCATAAACCCCTTTCGGGATCTCTTAGTAGACAGTACTGCTTGTACTTGGCAGAATGTACTTTTAATGGTTGCTCCTTGAATCCAAGAGTAAAAGTTGGCTCTGTCCTTCAAAATGATAATGTACTCAGTTGATAGTTATAATTTATATCTGAAGACATGCAGGGTTTTATCCCAGGAGAACATCCATTTGTCATAACAAATGCTAGCACAAAAGTCTTTGAAAAGAAACTGGATTTTTACCAATAAATATGTGTTCAAGGTGTGTATGCATTTCTAATGATCTGACTGCAGAAAATTTTCCATAGTACCTATCGATTCTTCCTTTAATTTTTTCCCTTGATTCCAGGGATTGAACCCAGGGGTGCTTAACCACTGAGCCATATCTCCAGAAACACAAGAAGTTTGTAAATATGAGCATCACCACAAATGTGTGAGCAATTCACTGCACTATGATGGCTATGACATCGCAAGGTGATAGGAATTTTTGAGCTCCATTATAATCTTATGGGACCTCTATCTTATATGTGGTCATTGATCAAAATGTAATTGCATGGCACACAACTATATCTTTCTCATCAATATCTTTTCTCTTTTGCTTTCCTGTTTTTCTTTTTTTCTTTGTAATTATTTCCCTTCTGTATTCTTTTATCTTTCCTTTGGTCATTATTCTCTATGCTTCCTCTGGTCTTTTTCACGTTCCAGTGCTCCACACCTTGATTTTTTTCCTACCCCATTTTCTTATCTCCCTCTAACTTCTCCTACTTTCTTGCATTTCTTTATTGATAGTGTCTTTATTATAATTTTCTTCATCCATGTAATATTTACATTATTTATTGCAGGTAAGTATATATTGAACATTAACAGGTTTTTTGAGATGTAATTCATATGCCATACAATTCACCCATTTAAAGTGTGCAATTCAGTGGCTTTTCACATATTCACAGAGTAGTGCATCCATCTGCATAATCAATTTACAAACATTATCCTTAACCCCCCAAAGAAACCTCACATTCCTTTTTTTGGTGGTGCTAGGGATTGAACACAGGGCCTGTACATGCAAGGCAAGCGCTCTACTAACTAAGCTATATCCCCAGCCCAAGAAACCTCACATTCCTAGCCACCTTTTCTCAACTCCCCAGTTCCCTACTCCTATGTAACCACTAGTATCTACTTTCTTCAAAAGTTTGCTTATTCTGGAAATGTCATATAAATGGAATTATTTAATGTCATGCAAATGTCATATAATTGGAATCCTTTGTGATTGGCGGCTTCTTTACCTTAAAAGTTTCATCAATATTGTAGGATATAACAGTTCTTCATTTATTTTATTGTTAACAAAATAGTACATGATATGGATTTATCACATGTATCCATCAGGTGATGGACATTTGAGTTGCTTACCACTTTTTGGTAATAACTTCATGTGCAGGTTTTTACATGGACATATATTTTATTTCTCTTGGAATGAAATTGCTAGATCATGATAGCAACTTTATGTTTAATCATCTGAGAAACTTCCAGATTGTTTCCAAAGTGGGTGAAACACTGCATGTTTCCAGTATTAGCATATAAGTGTTCCAGTTTTCTCACACTCTCACCAACACTTGTTATTATCTATAGTTTTACTTATAGTCATGCTAGTAGGTACGAAATGATACTTCTGATTTGCATGTCCTTAGTGATCATATTAAATATTTCAAAAATTTTACTATACAAAATTCTAAAAATGTTTTTCAAAGAACATTTTAGTGAAAATTTATACTTTATTAATATCTCACACAGAAAAAATAGGGAATATAGATGACAATATAATTTTTATAATTAATTTCATGTTCTTAGCCTTGTTTCTAAACTGCAAAGTACAAACAAAACAGAATTATACTAAAGCATAATTCTGTGAATAAAAACAAAACAAAAACCACTAAGTCTAATTTTCTTAATTCTTGGTTCATTCCTCATTTTTCCTGCTTTTCTTTAGAAAAATAATACTAATTTTTGGAAGATTATGTTTGTGGCCCTAAGACTTACTATGGGAGTAGGAAATGTTAAAAAGAAAAAATAGGGCTGGGATTGTGGCTCAATGGTAGGGCACTCACCTAGCAAGTGCGAGGCCCTGGGTTCAATCCTCAGCACGACAAAAATAAAATAAAATGAAATAAAGGTATTTAAAACAAAAAAAATCTAAAAGAAAAGAAAAGAAAGAAAAAATATATGACTGCCTTTCTTTTCCAAGAATAGCAATATGTACTTACTCATCAAAGTTGAGTGTATTGGTCCACTTCAGTACTTCATCTACTTCCCATTCCATCACAGAATCTATCCCACCATCTTCAATACTTTTCATTAGACCTTTTGTTGCTGTTTGAATTAAGCTTACAGTGCCATAATGAGTAGCCCTAGCCATGAGGCTCCCTGTGTAGTACCTAAACAGAAGAAGTGAAGAGAAAGGTCAGTCATTGCAATAGGTCATAACAAGCAGATATGATTGTTATATATTGTTGTTACATATCAATATATATATAAATTAAAAATGGGTATACATTAATACAGTTTTGATCCTATATACCCAGATGCATGTAAACTAAGATCTATATGATAGAATCTTTTGTGGGGGAAAAGAAGTAATTTCATTAACCACACCAAACCAAAGAGGCCTCACTTAAAAATCACCCAATAAGCTGCATTTTTTATGATACAGAGAAAAATTAAGTTGTTTAATCACTGAGTCATAGAATTATAGAGTAGAAAGTATGTTAGAGACCAGATAACTAGCTGGCTTGTGTTAACAGTGAGGTAATAAACCCTGGAGGAATTGAGTACCTTCTACAAAGCCATGAATCTAAAGGTAGGTAGAGGGAAATAAAGGGGAAAAAGGAAATGGAGAGGATGAAGATTATCTAGTGAAGACAAACAATATCTTCATGCCAGGTACTTTTCATATACTTTTTTATTTAATTCTCTCTCAAAAGACAGTCATTTGTGACAGTTATTATTTATTTATTTTACTTTTTAGATAAAGAAAGTGGGACTTGTATAAGTTAAAAGACTGTTCAAAATCATGAAGGTAGAAAATATGTAGAAAGCCAGCATTTAAACTTGACTCTAAGTCCAGCCTCTTTTTGACACTAATTTGAGCACATGAATTAATATATCCACCAAACATTAAGTAAGTATAAATTAGTCCTTAACAAGAACATAGAAATACAGTCATGCATTGCTTAACAACAAGAAATGTGACATTAGTCAATTTTGTCACATAAACATCACAGAGTGTACTTACATAAACTTAAGACATACCAAGGCTATAAAGTATAGTATATTGCTTCTAGGCTATAAAACTGTACTACATGTTACTGTACCCACTACTGCAGGCAACTGAAATACAAAGGTGAGTATTTGTGGACCTAAACATAGAAAAGATATAGTAAAAATATGCTATAAACAATTTAAAATGGAGCTGGGGCTGGAGCTCAGTGGCAGAGCACTTGCGTAGCATATGTGAGGTACTGGGTTCGAGCCTCAGCACCACATAAAAATAAACAAATAAAATAAAGTATTCTGTCCATCTACAACTATAAAAAATTTTTAAAGAGAAAGAAAAGATTTAAAATGGAACACTTGTATAGGGCATGTACCATGAACAGAACTTGGTGAGTAAGTATATGCTGAGTGAATGTGAAGCCCTATAACATTACTATACATAGATATTATAAACATAGTACACTTAGGCTATGCTGAATTTATTTTTAAATATCTTTCTTTAATAATTAACCTTAGCCTACAGTAAATGTTTTACTCTATAAATTTTGAACACTTGGTTGTACTTTAGTCACTGTAATCCTGTGACCCTTGCAATTGGGTTTCCCTTAACTTACACTGCAACTATAGGAGATGAAGAACTACTTCGGAGCCACTTTGGAGATCTTCTAATTGTTTGCACATTTTTTTTTAATTTAACAACTTTATTGAGGTATAACTGATGTACAATGAACCACATATTTAAATTACACAATTAACAGTTTTGACATGCATACAGCTTGGGAATGCATCACTACAATAAAAACTGAATCTATCCATCATCTCCTCCCCCAAGTTTTCTTGTTGCCTTTTGTAATCTTTCCCTATTTCCTCCCTGCTCATTTCCAACCAACTATTTATTGATCTGCTTTGTAACTCTAGATTTGTTTTTAACATCTAGAATTTTATGTAAATGGAACCATGTAATATGTACTCTTTTTATTAGCATCATTTCATTTAGCATCATAATTTTGAGATTGATCCATGTGGTTATGTGTATCAATAGTCTGTTGCTTTGTATTGCTGAGTGGTATTCACTCATTGTGGATGTAACATATTTGCTTATCCATTCACCTACTCATGAGCACTTGTACTATTTCCAGTTGTGGGCTATTACAAATAAACCTGCTATGAACATTCACATTCAATCTTTTTGTGAACATAGTTATGATTTCTCTTGGGTAAATGCCTAGGAGTAGAATAACTGTGTTGATTAACTTTTTTTTTTTTTAACTACCAGACTGTTTTCCAATTAGCTGCACCAGTTTGCACATGCTCCGTATCCCTTGCCAAATACTGGTATGGCAGACTATTTTAGCCATTCTGGTGGGTATGTGGTGGTAACTCATTATCATTTTAGTTTGCACTTCCCTCATGCCTAATGATGTTAGTCATTAAATGAGTTGCTAATTTGCTATTAATATATCTTCATCAGTGAAGTATTTGTTTAATTTTTTGTCCATATAAAATTAGATTGTCTTCTTTTCATTACTTTTGAGAATTTAAAATATATTCTAGCCAGGCATGTTGGCACACACCTGAAATCCCAGTGGCTCAGAAGGCTGAGGCAGGAGGATCACGAGTTCAAAGCCAGCCTCACCAATGGTGAGGCGCTAAGCAACTCAGTGAGACCCTGTCTCTAAATAAAATACAAAGTAGGGCTGGGGATAACTCGGTGGCCAAGTGCCCCTAGGTTCAATCCCTGGTACGAAAAAAAAAAATTCTAGATTCAAGAACTTTTTCAGAAATATATTTTGTAAAATGTTGCTATTATTTTTACCTCACATTTCTATTTTTGTAAGAGGTTGTTCAAAGAACAAAAGCTTTTAAATTTGAAGAATGCAGTTTAATATATATTTTTTAATTTTATAGTTCATGCCTCTGTGTCCTGTTTAAGAAATGTTTGCCAGAACTAAGGTCACTAAAATTTTCTCCTTGATTACTTGTAGATGTTATGGCTTTTGCTCTTATCTTTAGATCTATGATCTCTTGAGTTAATTTTAGACATAACATAGAGTCAAGTTAATTTTAGACATAACATAGAGTCAAGTTTCATTTTTCTGCATCTCAATATCTAATTTGTCAAAAAAGCTATCTTTTCCCAATTAAATTCTCTGAGCACCTTTATTGAAAAATCAATTAATATATGTGTGGGTCCATTTCTTAAATCTATATTCTACTGATGTCTACTTTTATGCCAATACTGCAATGCCACCATTGTAATACCTTTAAAAGTCTCCAAATCAAGTAGTTTAAGTTTCCCAAATCTGTTATTTCCTAAAGTATCATATAGGTTTTTAGTAGGTCTATTTCATTTACTTACATATGCCTCATCCATTCTATTTTTCGAATTTTTCTTTTCTTTTCCAAATCTTGCCTTCTCTTCAGTTTAGAAAAGTGAAATTCGCTTTTCTTTTTGCCTTCCATCACTTCTTTTTCATCTGGTATCCAAAACTATTGAGAAATGAAAATTGAGATATAAAGTGTTGACATACTGATTGTGGATTTCTCTTGCTATAGATAAGAACTTTTTTGTCTTCATCAGGAATATACCAAGATAGAAACAGGAGAGAGGATAAACCTTTTCAAGGTATTTCCAATTAAGTCACCGGTGAGAAATACATAGAGCCTTCAGAAGCACATGCTATAGAAAAACAAACAGTATTTATGGACTAAAGTACTTTGTATTTGGCAAGTTAATAAGTAGACATATTCTAAGAGTGTTTCTCGTCTCACATGAACAGATCTGAACTACACTTAGTGCTGTTGGCTTTTGATGAATCTATCCCTTAATGATTAATCAACCCTCCAGGCACACTCAGGATACATACTTCTATTTTGTCCTAAGTCTATATGGGTTCCTCTGAATGAAACTTTCTCCTAACTAGTTGCCTACTTTCCCACATCCAATTCATCTCCCATGCCCAATCACACTATGTAACAAAGAATTTTCTACCACCCATAACACCATGTATTTGCCTTTATTAAAGTACTGAACATACTTGTTGCACTGAACTGAAATATCCTGTTTACTTAACTGTCTCCCCAATTAAAATGGCAAACTATTTGAGGGGAAGAATCATACCTTTTTACCACTGTATGCCTAATGCTTGCACGATTGATAGAAAGTCTGTTGAATGAATTCACACTTCATGTTTCATACTTAGTATATAAAAGTATATATAATCTATATGCCAAATATATATAATCTGAATTCCAGAGAATATCTAAAGATGGCCTAATATTAAAGCTGATTACTAGAAGTACAAGTAAATGTTAAGAAAAAGAGATAAATTGCTACTCTTAGAATTATTAATCCTAGAACAGTTTAAGCAAATTTTATCAATAACTAGCAATTATTATTTTTTAAAATGTTCAAAGAGAAAACAGTATCTAAATGTATAAAATTTAAAATGACTAATATTTCTCTTTTCTTACTCTATCAGAAACAGGCCTCCAGCCATTGTTTTCTATACGATGATACCAGCCACTATGATCCTCTTCTTGAAGATGATCATTTTTATTATGCAATGTATGTTTTGCTGGAAGATTTGTGTAATCTCTAGGGCTGTTAGCACACAAATCTTCAATATGTCTGTGAGTAAAAATTTTATAGTATATATCAGGTGGAAATTTAATCTGTAGATGGAAAAGTTCAAAGTATTATTGTAATGCAATTACAAACATGATTATCATTTTTAAAAATTCATCTTTTAAATTTTACAAAAATGTGCTTTAAGATTATTAAAGATTCATGTGTACTTACTCCACCTAATCTGAATCGTACATGAATGCCAGCAGCAGCATCTAGAAGTTCTGCCTATAAAAAAGTACATTACTCTTCAATGTTCTGTATATATCATCTTGCTGCTTCTCATTCTACTATTTTAAAATAGTTGCTGGATATTGATTACTTACAAAATAGATCAGGTGAAAAGAACTCAAATAATTAGTTTTAAATTAAAAAATTTTTTTCAAGCTAAAGACATAATCTCTTACAGACCCAGTAACTAAAATAGCTTATATGACAACTGAAAATAAAATGGTACCAAACTATTTCCTTTCTATACTACATACAAATATAAAAGTCAAGCAACTTATTATTCATAAAAATTAAGTCATCATTAAGTCATATATGATTTACATATAAAATATTATTTTATAAATTCAGGAAAAGAAAGATGATTGGTCAACCCAAGTTCAACACCAGATGATCTTTCCTAATTAGGTTTTGTTAAATCAAAAACCCAGGTTTAAAAATTGTAAGTATTACATATAATAGGTTTTCTACATTGTAGTGCTTTGTTCAACATCTCTAGCAATTAGAGAAATGTAATCAAAACTACTCTAAGATTTCATCTCACTGCAATCAGAATGGCAGCTATTAAGAATACCAACAACAATAAGTGTTGGTGAGGATGTGGGGGAAAAGGCACATTCATACATTGCTGGTAGGTCTGCAAATTGGTGCAGCCAATATGGAAAGCAGTATGGAGATTTCTTGGAAAACTGGGAATGGAACCACCTTTTGACCCAGCAATCCCACTCCTCCATCTATACACAAAGGACTTAAAAACAGCATACTACAGAGACACAGCCACATCAGTGTTCATAGCAGCACAATTAACAATAGTTAAACTGTGGAACCAACTTAGATGCTCTTCAACAAAGGAATGGATAAAGAAAATGTGGTATATATAGGCAATGAAAAATTATTCAGCATTAAAAGAGAATAAAATCAGGGCATTTGCAGGTAAATAAATGGAGAATATAATGCTAAGCAAAGTAAGCCAATTCTAAAAAAACAAATGCTGAATGTTTTCTCTGATATAAGAATGCTGACTCATAATAGTGATGGGGAGGGAGCATGGGAGGAATGGAGGAACTTTAGATAGGCAAAGGGGAGGGAGGGTAAGGGAAGGGGCATGGGGGTAGGAAAGACGGTGAAATGAGATAGACATCATTACCCTAAGTACATGTATGAAGACACGAATGGTGTGACTCTACTTTGTGTACAACCAGAGATATGAAAAATTGAGCTCTATATGTGAATATGAATTATAATGCATTCTGCTGTCATATATAACAAATTGGAATAAATTTTAAAAAATTTTTAAAAAAAGAAAAGCTAGTTCAGGAATAGAAATGCACTAGACCTTAAGAGATGGTGAAAGGAAGTTTGGAATGAAGTAAGAGCACAGGTAAGAGAAGCTGATAGGGGGGCTGGGGATATAGCTCAGTTGGTAGAGTGTTTGCCTCGAACACACAAGGCCCTGAGTTCAATCAATCCCCAGCATCACAAAAAAGAAAAGAAATAAAAGAGAAAGAGAGAGAGAGGCTAATGGGGATATGAATAAAGGGTTACAGAAAAGACAAAAGATGCATCACAGACAAAATGTCTGTGTGATTTGGGTGAGCAGTGAAGGGAATTTTTGTGTTTCAAAAACAAAACTAACAATGAACTATTTAAAAAAAAATATTTATTTTTTAGTTGTAGTTGGACACTATACACTTATTTTATTTATTTATTTTTATGTGGTGCTGAGGATCGAACCCAGGGCCTCGCACATGCTAGGCGAGCACTCTACTGCTGAGCCACAATGCCAGCCCCACAGTGAACTTTTTAATGTACTCATTTCCATGTAACCAAGAAGCAATCAAGAATGCTGTTTCACATGTTTAAAAAAAAATGTGTTGTACTAGCTCTGAATCATTATTCCTCTATCAGAGGGTAATGTCCCCCAGCTTTCTCTGTGTGTGTGCCTCTTGTTTCTCAATTCCCTATTGGCCTCTTGCTGGTCTTTCCTGAATTAACAACCAGGCTGAGAGATTGTGCTGTGGCAATATATGACACTACCAATCAAATCAGAGCTGAGCAGCTATACCAATTTAAAAAACAATTGAATTAAGAGCAAGAAAAACTTTGGGGGTTAAAGAGAAGCATTACATGATGATAAAGTGGTCAATTCTCTAAGAAGACATAAAAATCCCTGTGTATAAACCTAACAGAGCATAAACTTATATGAGGCAAAAATTGATGGAACTATAAGGAAAAACAGAGGAATCCATTATTATAGCTGGAGATACCAATACTCCTCTACTAATAAATGACAGATTCAGTAGGCAGAAAATCAGTAGGGTCACAGTTGACCGTGACAGCACCATAATTGACTAGATCTACTTGATAACACTTCATCTAATAGCAGAATCTACCTGAGAATATTCTTTTCAAGCTTATACAGAAGAAATACCAAGATAGACCATATCTGAGTCATGAAACATACCTTAATAAGTTTAAGATCAGCAATAGAAAGACAAGAGGAAAATACCAAATGCTGGGTATTATAAATAAAAAAATATGTTCAATGAGAAGTCTACAATACAATAATAAAAACTAGAAAGTACTTAGAACTAAGTGAGAAAAGAACTTATCAAAATTTTCAAAATATAGCAAAAACAATGCTTAGAAGAAAATTTATAGCATTGAATTCATATGTTGAAAACAAGAAAGATCTGAAATCAATAATCTAATGTTCCACCTTAAAAAGCTAGAAAAAGGGGCTGGGATTGTGGCTCAGTGGTAGAGCGCTTGACTAGCATGCATGAGGCACTGGGTTCGATTCTCAGCACCACATGCAAATAAATTTTTTAAAAATAAAGGTCCATCAACAACTAAAAAAAATATTTTTAAAAAAGAAGCTAGGAAACAAACAAACAGTTACTTGGGAGGCTGGGGCAGGAGGACAGTCACAGCAATAGTAAAAGATAACAAAGTTAGAGAACTGACATTACCCAATATCACAAGACTTGCTATTAAGCAAAAGCAATCAAGACAATGTGATATTGGTGAGAAGATAAACAAATACATGAATGGAGCAGAAGAGAAAGCCCAGAAATAGACCTGAATAAGTATAGTCAACTGATTGTTGAAAAACAAGAAAAAGTAATTCAACGGAGAAAATGTCTTCAATAAATGGTGGTGCAATTCACAATAGCTAAATTATGGTACCAACCTAGATGCCCTTCAGTAGATGAATGGATAGGAAAACTTTGGTATATATACACAAATAGAACATTACTCAGCATTGAAGAGAATAAAATCATGGCATTTGCAGGTAAATGGATGAAATTGGAGACTATAATGCTAAGTGAAGCAAGCCAATCCCCCCAAAACAAAGGCTGAATGTTTTCTTTGATATGAGGATGGTGATTCATAATGGCCTTGTGGGGGAGATATGGGAGGAATGGAGAAAATTTAGATAGGGCAAAGGAGAGGGAGGGGAAAGGAGGGGGCAAAGGGGTAGGAATGATGGTGGAATGAGTTAGACATCATTACCCTAATACATGTATGAAAACTCAAATGGTGTAAAAATACTTTGTGTACAATCAGTGACTTGAGAAATTGTGCTCTATATATGTAATATGAAATGAATTGCATTCTGCCATCATGTATAACAAATTAGAATAAACCAATAATTTAATTTTAAGAAGTGGTGGTAATGCAACTGGAGGAAAAAAGGAATATGATACAAATCTTATAAAATATTAAGAAGAAATCTAAATGAATTGGGTTGGGTGACAATTTTTTTTTAAGATACAACACCAAAGTTATGACATGTGGAAGAAAATATTATAGATGAACCTTAGTAAAATTTAAAATTAAGTTCTACTCTGTGAAGATTACAAATAGTATGAAAAGATGAGCCATAGACTAGGGAAAAAATATTTTCAAAATATATATCTAATAAAGGACTGGTATTGAAAACATGTGAAGAACTCTAAAAACTCCAAAATGAGAAAATGAAAAACTTGATTTAAAAATGGGCAAAAAGATATCTATAAAGATATCTTACCAATAGTGATATACAGTAAGCATATGAAAAGATGCTCAACCGTATATGTTATCAGGTATGTTAGTCAGGTTTTCATCATTGTGTCCAAAATACCTAACAACAACGATTTGGAGAAGGAAAGGTTTATTTTGGCTCCTGGTATCAGAGGTTCAGTCCATGGTGGGTTAACTCTATTTCTTTTGGCTCAAGAATAGGCAGAATATGATAGAGAAAAGGCAAAGAGAAGAGCACTCCATTCATGACAGCCAAGAAGCAGAGACAGGGGGCTGGAGGAAGAGGCTGGAGGGAAGATCAACTCTTCCAGGGCATGCCCCCAATGATCATCCAACTCCTCCAGTGTGCCTTACCTACCTAAATTACCACACAGATAATTTCATCAACGTAATTGAAAAATTGACTTAATTCACATCAATACATTATGCCCAACTAAAGAATACATTATGTCTAGATAAAAATTTACAAAAATAGACATGAAAAGATTGAAGTCACAATGCAATTAAGATAAATATTAGTAATAAAGAGATAACTTGGTAATTCCTCAATTTTAAAAGTACAATTCTAGCTGGGTGTGATAGTGCATGCTTGCAATCCTAGAGGCTTGCGAGCTAAGGCAGGAGGATCTCAAGTTCAAAGCTGGTTTCAGCAACTTAGCAAGGCCGTAAGCACTTAGCGAGATCCTGTCTCAAACTGAAAAATAAAGAAGGCTGGGGATGTGGCTTCGTGGTTAAGTGTCTCTAGTACCAAGAGAAAAAAAAAAGTACAATTCGAAATAACTTTAGAAATTCAAGTAGAAATTTGAAAGTATGTAAGCTGCAGCTAAAAGCATGCTTAAGTTAAAATTTATGGGCTCAACTACAAAATACAGTGGGAAATTATAAGTTCAGCATTCAGTTCAAAAAAGTTAGAAAAGTAACAGTTAATATAATTCAAAGAAATTATAAAGAAGGAAATAAGAAACAGCAGGACATGATGAACTAGAAAACAAGTCAGAAAGGCATGAACAATAGACAGGAAAAATAAAGCTGAAATTTGGTTCTTTGAAAAGACTAATAAAGTGAAATTGGTCAAAAAAGAAAAGACAAATTATCAGGAATAAAAATTTAAAAAACTATTATAGATTCTAAAATATTAGAAAGATCATAAGAGAATATTATGAGCAATTTTAACTTCAACCTTAATAAATTTGAAAATTTAGATTAAATGGACAACTTCATAGAAGAATACAACCTATCAAAGCTAGCAGAAGAATAAATACAAAATAAGAATACACCTTTAACTATATATTGGATTTATAATTTAAAATCTCACAAAGAAAACTTCTGGCACAGATGGCTTCACTGGTAAGTACTTATTATCCTCCTTTAAGAAAAAAATAACATTTAATGTAAAAACTAAATCTAGAAAATAAGTGGAGAAGGCACATTTTCCTATCTGTTTTAGGAGGCCAGCTAAGGTTTGTTTGTTTTTAAACTTTTTTTATTTGGTCTTTTTAATTATACATGACAGTAGAATGTATTTTGACATCGTACATAGGAGTGTAAGTTCCCATACTTGTGGCTGTACAAGTTAAAATGTGGAGTTATACCATTCCTGTATTCATATATGAACATAGGAAAGGTATGTCCAATTCATTCTACTGTCTTTTCTCTATTCCCATTCACCTTCCCTTCCCTTCATTCCCCTTTGTCTATCCCAGTGAACTCCCATCCTCACCTCCCACTTATTGTGAGTTAGCATATGCGTATCAGAGAGAATATTCGGAGGCCAGCTAAGTTTGACACAAAAATCTTGACAAAAAAAGTACAAAAAAGTAAATTACATGTTCTACATGAACATACATGTAAAAATTTCAACAAAATATTAGCCAACTGTATATATTTGGGGATACTTAAAAAGACATGACCAAAATGTGTGTATTCTAGGAAACTTAACAAAAGAAACAGAAGAAAAATAATACATCAATTAAAGCAGAAAAATGTCTCTGAAAACTTAATCATTCTTGGATTTAAAAAAAAATGATTGTAGCTTAACAAAGAAGGAAACTTTCTTAATCACATAAAAGGTTTCTACAAAACAACTCAGTAGCACAATTCCTATTTAATGATAAAATACTGAAAATGAGACAAAGGTCATCATTTCTATCAATCATTATTTAAGGTTCTACTCAATGCAGAAAGAAAAATAAGTGATGCATAATGTTAAGAAAGGGGAAAATATCTGAACATGATATTTTTTCTATAGAAACTCCAAAATAATTCATGTTCCAATTATTACAATTAATAAATGAGGATTATAGAATTACTGGAAACAAAGCTAATATATAAGAATTGATTATCTTTCTATATGTTAATCAAAAATTTTGTAATTACCATTTATAGGAGCAAAGAATAAGGTATAAGTCTAATAAAAGATGTGTAAAACCTCTATACAGAAAACTATAAAACATTATTGATAAAAAAATACATAAAAAGTAAATAATGTGGCCAAATGGATTTTCCAGAAGAAAGTGCTGATATGAAGTTTGGGTGTCACAGGTTTACTGTGGGTCAACAAACAATCTATGAAATAAGGAGAAGAAAGATGAACTGGACAAAGGAAGAATTTGAACTGCAATGCAAGCCCCACAAAACCTGGGCCAATCATGCAGGGAGCTCTAAAATGAATTTTGTCCACATCACAAAGACCTTTAATACCCTTCTGCCCACCTACCACACTCTGCTTGGTCCCTGGATGTGGGTTGCCCTGGAAACAGTTGACTTAACATGAAAGCAGTTCTCTGCAGAAAATGGAGAAACTGAAGATGGTCACAGCCAGCAGGAGGCTGTCTGCTGTCTATAATACCCCAAACCGAGTAGTAAATCCATCTGTGAAGACAGATTTGAGCAGCCCATCTCACATTTCCCATAAAAGTTCATGGATTAAAGCTCTCAATATTGTCATGATGTCAGTTTTCCTCGAATTGATCTAAATATTCAATACAATACCAATTAAAAATCTCAATAGGTGTTTAACAGCCTTTACTGTGGTAAAATATAACATAAATGTACCATTAGTGACATTTAGTTGTTTCATAATGTTGTATAGCCACTATTGACTTGCAGAATATTTTCTTCACTCCAAAAGGAAACCCTATATCCATTAATCAGTTGTTTCCTCATTCTTCCTTGTTTACAGGCCTTGGCAACCACTAGTTTTTCTCTTTATTAAATTCTCTATTTTATCAGACATCTCTATGTATCATTTTCCTTTGCCTACTCCTTCCCAACTTTTGAGTCTTCCTGTTCTTGCTTTGTCTGCTATCCCTTAGTTGCAGGTAGTATATGACTAAATACTGGATCTGGGACTGTGTGAAAATGCTGAAACAAAGGCAAGACTCTTGCAGGTCCCTTGGGAACTGCCAGGTAGATAATAAATCACAACTACAGTTTTTGTGAACCATCTCTGTATTTTGAATCCTGGTTCTCGTAAGCCACCCCAGAAATTTGGGCCTTTTGTTTTCCTGGCTGCTGCCAAGTTGGAGAATGGGGACCTTAGATGGGTAAGCAAAAAACACCTCAATGTTTGTTTTGTTTTTAGTACTGAGGATTGAATCCAGGGGTTCTTTACCCTTTACCTCTGAGCTACATCCCCAGTGCTTTTTTTTGTTTTTTTTTTTTTTTTTTTTTACTTTTTGTTTTTGAGACAGGGTGCTTCTTAAGTTGTGAAGGCTGTTCCCAAACTTGTGCTCCTTCTGCCTCAGCCTCCCAAGTATCTGGGATTACAGACATGTGCCACTGCTCAGCCTGGAATGCTTTCTTAACAAGATTTGGTGACCTTTACTTTCATTAGAAAAGGCCCCCTTTTAAGTTTTTAAATTATTTGATTTCAGAGTTCTGAAATCTAATTCAATCCTCAGCACCACATAAAAATAAATAAATAAAATAAAGGTACTGTGTCCAACTACAACTAAAAAATAAATATTTAAATTTAGATTTCAGAGTTCTGATAAGGTTGATTCTGACAGTTGCTCTTAGAGTCCCTATTTCATCATTGTCACTCCACTAATAGACTAGAGTAGGAGGCTGGAGATTAATAAATTAAAAAGTTTACATGAAAATATAAGACATCTAAGAATAACCTGGAGGAGTCTTCTCAAAGAAGAATTATAATATTGGAGAACTCTATCATAGAATAGACTTGTTATAAAGCTATTGTAGTTAAGACCAGAGTAGAAAAATAGACCAATGGAACAGAGTAGAAAACTCAGGAACAAATAAATACATAAACTACCTCTTGATTTATTATAAAAGTGGCATTGTAAAAAGTCAAATTTTTACTAATTCTGCCCCTCCTAACTTTATTATGTACACATAAAATTTACCATCTTACCCATTTTAAGTGTGATATTAAATACATTCATAATGTTGTACAACTATCACTGTCATCATCTTCATAATTCTTTTCATATTGAAACAACGTTGAATGAATAAATGCATACCCCAAAGCGTACTATGAAATTCTATTCATATGTAGTTCAAAAATGGGAATCTAAAGTGTGATGTTAGATTAGTGCTCACTTTTTAGAAGGAAGCATTGGCAGTAATTTTCAGGGCATCTGAAGGAGGCAATTTGGAGTATGAAAACATTGATCTGGGAGATGATTCATTTAACTATATACTTTATGAAGTTTCTGCATGTACATAATATTTCAATAAAAGGGTTTAATAAAACAAGTATGCACATACTGAATTGATAAAGTATTCATATATTTTAAGGAAAAAGATAAGGTGTTATAATAAATAAATAATGTCCTTACCTCTTTAGGATTAATATATTTTACTATCTGATGTGGTTCTCCTTGTCTTCTTAAATTAATCAGACTTTTAAAGTGTTGAAATACAGCAACATTCTAAAGGTTCAAACATAAGATTTTGTAATTTGCTGTTTGCCTAATTAGGGCAAAAATAAAAACTATAAATACAGATTTTATGAACTTTAGTTGGATTTTTGGAAATATTATCCACTCAGGGTTAGCTTTGATAAGCCAGTTAATGTTGGCATTATTCTCATAAAGAGTTTTACCCTTAAATTTACAATTGCATCACCATGGGCTGTAAATAAAATAGCCAAAACTTTGGTTAGTCACCTCTGTTTACTCTTCAGAGTAATCTAAGAGAAAAACAAAATGTAGTTGACTGGTTAAGAAAACTGAATACAGCATAATATTATCTGTATTCAACTCTTATACTTACTAAGACAAGGACCCAGGACAAGCTGCTTAACATCTACTGTGCTCAGTTTCTTCATGTATACAGTGGGAATGAAAGTGATTATTTCACAAAGCAATGATGATGAATAAATGTGTTAATATTGTAAAGCACCTAGAATAGTTCCTGGCACAGGAAAGAGCCCAGTAAACATTAAGTTATTAACACTACAGAATCCCCCTTACTCCCAAAGTAATTCCCCTGATTTACAAAACCATCTGCTTTTCCCATTTGTGCAAATTTACTCAATCAACCCTACGTAATTCTTCTATCTTGGAAAACTGTTTCTTGGGTAATCCTCCCCTCATATCTTGTCCACCTGAAAGCCCCTTAGCAATTCTTGGTAAACTCCCTGCCTCCCCTATTTGTTTATGTTAAGTTACATAAAATAAATTCAAAGTGAAGTAATACATAGTATCAACATAACAGTATGAAGCCCTATTGCAATTGTTTATGGACAATGGAGAAGCCCATGTCCAAACAATTAGTATTCTTTCTGAAAAGAATACATAGCTCCACCAAGTAAAATGCCAAAATGGGTAAACAAGAAAATTTAATTATGGCTCAAAATCTGACTAGTATCCTATAAATATGTAGATTACTATATTATAGCTATCTACTAATGCATAACTTAATATAAGTAGAATTGCTAATGACCTACTGCCTTCAGAAATAAAGGTTTGGATCAATTCCCAGATAAGGAGCCACAACCAGCTGAGGCACTTCCTAAAGAAAAGGAAATATGGGGGCTGGGGTTTTGGCTCAGTGGTAGAGTGCTCACCCAGCATATTCGAGGCCCTGTGTTCGATCCTCAGCACCACATAAAAATAAATAAATAAAATAAAGGTATTGTGTCCAACTACAACTAAAAATTAAATATTTTTTAAAAAGAAAAGGAAATATGGAGTGGTGAGCAGAAGAATAAAGTTAAAAATATCATAATCACTTTCAGAAACTAGTATTTATCAGCATTTCCTTTTTATATTTATATATAAATATTAACCAATTTTTTTTCTTTCTTTTCTCTCTTGCCAATATCCTTTCAACTGAATGTAAGGTATGCTAATGATGGTATAGTTATCAGAATAATGCTCACCCCAAAGATGCTCAATCCTAATCCCAGGATTCTGAAAGTAAGTTATATGAAAAGGAGCAATTAATATTGCATTAGCACCTGGCATGGTGGCACATGCCTGTAATCTCAGAGACTAGAGAGGTTGAGACAGGAGGATCACAAGTTCAAGGCCAGGCTCAGCAACTAAGTGAGACCCTGTCTATTAAAAAAACCTGAAGATGACTGTAATGTGGGAAGATTAGACTGATATGATTAAGGTCTGCCTAAGGGTCTGTGTAAGTGAAAGCAGGGAGGAAGAAGAGTCAGTGTCAGAGTGATGTGAAAAAAAAATTGACAAAGTCATTGCTGGATTTGAAGATGGAGGAGGAACATGTGCTAAGATGTAAGAACCATTAGAAGCTGTAAAAGGCAAGAAAACAATTTCGTCCTTAGAGCCTCCAGAAAGCAGACAGTCTTCATGACATATTGATTTTAGCCCAGTTAAAATGTTCAGACTTTTTACCTCCAGAAATGTAAGAAAAAATTTTCCCACTTTTTTATTGGTGCAATGTAGTTGAGATAATGATGGGATTTGTTATTACATATTTGTACATGTATACAATATAACAATATAATTTGGCCAATATCACTTCTTCCCTCCCTTGCCACCTCCCATCCCTTGGTCCCTTTTCCTCTACTGCTATCCCTTGGATTTTCATGAGATTCGTCCCCACCTTTCTTTTCCTTTTTCCTCTTTTTCCTCTCTAGCCTCCACATATAAAACATATGACCCTTGAACTTCTGAATTTGACTTATTTCACTCAACATAATGGTCTCTAGTTCCATCCATCTTCATGCAAATGACAATTTCATTTTTCTTTGTGGCTGAATAAAACTCCATTGTACATATATAGGAAACATTTTCTTTTTCCATTCATCCATCTATGAACACCTAGGTATTGTGAATTGTGTGACTATAAACATGGGTATGCATATATCATTATAGTGTGCTGACTTTTAATTCTTCAGGATAAATATTGAGACTGGAATATATAGCTGGTCATATGGTGGTTCCATGCCTAGTCTTTTGAGGAACCTCCATACTGATTTCTATAGTGGTTGTATTAATTTACAATCCCACCAGCAGTGTAAAAGTATTCCTTTTCTGCACATCCTCTCCAGCATTTATTAGTGTTTATATTTTTGATGACTGCCATTCTGACTGGAGTACGATGAAATCTCAGTGTAGTTTTGATTTGCATTTCCTAATTGCTAAGGATGCTAAACATTTTTTCATATATTTGTTGGCCGTGTATATTTCTTCTTTTGAGAAGTGTCTGTTTAATTCATTTCCTTGTTTGTTAATTGGGGGGATGGTTGGTGTAAAGTTTGAGTTCTATTAATCCTCTGTCAGAAGAATAGGTAGCAATGATTTTCTCCCATTCTTTAGGTTCTCCCTTCACATGTTTGCTTTGCTGTGCAGAAGCTTTTTAATTTGATATCATTCCATTTTTTAATTTTTGGCATTATTTCCTGAGATTTAGGAGAGCTTTGTTTTTTAAAGCACTAGGTTTGTGACAATTTTTACAGCAGTAATAAGAAATTAATATGTCTTTAACCTTACATCTAGTATTGAATTTATAAGATACCATAGGAAGAGTATGCTCAGCAAAAACAGGAAGAAAAATGATCCAAAGATGGATAAAGTTTCTTTTGGGAAGGGGGTGAATATGTTTTGGCTTATGTGAGGTTTGCTTCATGTTATGAATTAAATTGTAAAATTTAATCATTTTAATGTTGACTTTACTTAGAAGTTACAAATGGCCAATAAACACATGAAAAATACTCGGCATCAGGAAAGGCAAATCAAAACCACACTGGGGGCTGTGGCTCGGTAGTGGAGTACTTGCATCATATGTGTGAGGCACTAGGTTCAAATTCTTAGCACAACACATAAAAATAAATAAAGATTTTTAATACAACACTGAGATTCTACTTAACATCAACTAAAATGACTATTATAAAAATAAAACAGAATAATAAACAGAAAATAAAAAGTATTGGCAAGGATGTATGTGGAGAGCGGTGACAGTGATTGGGAGACTAGTGTCTGAGACTGGTGTCCCTGATGACTTCATGGCAGTGGCATGCTTGGTACCTGGGAAAGTTTCTGTGCAAAGATGCAGGATGCTCTCCATGGGGAGGCTCTGTGCTAGAGTCTGATTAGCCTCAGCCTTGCTCTCAGGCACTCAGCTCCTTGGAATGAAGAAATTCCCTCTCTAAGACAACCACAATGTTTCACCAGCTCCCTGCTGCTGAACCTGCCCATATAATAGTAACTTTTAATAATGGACTTTCTTAAGAGCTATATAAGCTCCTAACATTGCACATTGCAACTGTAGAATGTAACTGAGGAATAAGCTGCATTATGTTGCTAACTCTGTAACTTTCATGAATACAAAGAATAATGCTTACATAGTCTTTAATCTGATTAATGAGACATATATAATAAAGATTGCTGGTGTAATTCTTCAGACCTGCTTCTCCATCAGAGAGCAGCGTTCTACCCAATCCCAGCTATTTATTTCACAATCTGAGTTCATGAGTCTTATTTCTTCCAATCTCCCATTGCCCCTAGCCAAAAACTGCTAGTTTAACTGTGCTGGTTACAGCAGATGTACAGAAATTAGAAACTTTGTACATTACTGAGAGAAATGTAAAATAGTACAGCAACTATGGAAAGCAGTTTGGTGGTTCCCTCACAAAGTTTAACATAGTATTATAATTTGACACAGCAATTTGAATTTTAGATATATACCCAAAAGGATTTTTAAAAAAAGATAGGGCAGAGGGGTAGGAGGGGGCATGGGGTTAGAAATGATGGTGGAATGTGATGGACATCATTATCCAAAGTACATGTATGAAGACATGAATTGGTATGAATATACTTTGTATAAAACCGGAGATATGAAAATTTGTGCTCTATATGTGTAATATGAATTATAATGTCATATATAAATAAAAGAAATTAATTTTAAAAATCCATATAATTGTACCTTGATATCATTGTAACTTTGGAAACAATATAGCAACAGGGTGTTCTTTGAAATGAAAAAAAAAAAAGGTTTATTGAGAAGATCAGCCTTGAAATGAATCAATAAAACCAATACTTCATCATTACTACAGTAAAAATATTTTACTAAAATTTTTGTCTTAAATATGAAGAAACAGAATTTGTAACTAAATGGATTTCATCACATTGACAACATTTTCCTCCTTTGTACTTTTTGGCTCTTACAAATAAAATTTCCTTGAGCAATCAAAAAAAAGTGCTCAAACAGATACTTGAATATGAATTTTCATAGCAGCATCATTCACAGTAGCTCAAAACTAGAAACAGCCCAAATGGCCATTAACAGATGAATGGATAAACAAAACAAAACCAAACACATAAAACCCCAAACTTACTTATATGAGGTACCAAAAATAGGAAATTAATAAAGACAAAGTAGAATAGAGGTTACCCAGGCAGGTCTGGAGAGTAAGACAGTGTTAGTAAGACAGTATTATTTAAGGGTGTAAGAAGTTCTGTTTGGGATGGTAAAAAAGTACTGAAAATGGATGGTGAGGATGGGTGTACAACATCATCAATACATCTTATATGCCTAAAATGGCTAAAATTGTAAATTTTATGATATATATACTTTAGCAAAATAAAAATAAGCACTACTTAAAACAAGAATAAAAATGTGTTCCTAATGTTTCAAACCAAAATATAAGTGAATTATATAACAACAGAACAAAGGGGAAGGGCATAACTTGTTGAGATTTTTATATTAACTGGAAAGTACTAATTTATGGCAAACGCTAATTAATCAAGGGCAAATAGTAGGGAAACACACTAAAAGAATATGTAAGTATTCTAAAGATCTATTAAGGTATAGCAAACTAGTGGTGGTGTTAAACAACCATTGTTTAATTATACTCACAATATGGGCCATGGTTATGGGTTATACTGGTAGGGCATAGTACCAGGACTCTTTTTTTTTTTTTTTAAGAGCATTATAGTTATACATAGTGGTTGGGTTCATTTTGACAAAATCATTCATGCATGGAATTTGACTTCAATTCCTGTTCCTTCCCTCCCTCTTGATCTTCTACTTTACTGATCTTCCCTATATCTTTATGGTATCTGATTCCCCCTTCTTTCCCTTATTTTTCTCTTACTTCCACATGAGAGAAAACATTCAACCTTTGACTTTTTGACTAATTTCACTTAGCATTATGTTCTCCATTTCCATCCATTTACCAGCTAAGGCCACAATTCCATGCATGTACATTTTTATATATAATTTTACTTGTTGATGGGCCTTTATTTTATTTACTTATATGTGGTGCTGAGGATGGACCCAGTGCCTCACACATGCTAGACAAGTGCTCTAACACTGAGCTATAACCCCAGCCCAATTTAATCCTTCTTCATGGTTGAATAAAACTCCATTGGGTACATATACTACATTTTCTTGATCCATTCATCCACTGACAGGCATCTGGGTTGACTTATCATCTGGGTTGATAAGTATTGATCTTATATCCTGCTGCTTTGCTGAAATCATTTATCAGCTCTAGAAGTCTTCTGGTAGAGTTTTTTGGCTCTTCTAGACATAGGATCATATCATTAGCAAAAGGGAAAATAAGTGTCAGACTATTTTTATCCCTTAATTACCTTCTTTTCACTGATTTCTCTAGCTAGAGTTTTGAAAACTATATTGAATAGAAGTAATAATAATGGACATCTTTGTCTTGTTCCTAATTTTAGAGGAACTGCTTTCGGATTTTCTCCATTCAGTATAATATTAGCTTTGGAGTTGCCATTTACAGCCTTTATAATATTGAGGTAAGTTCCTTCTATCAGTAGGACAGTCTTTTCTGACTTCCACAGGAACAGACTTCAGCTATGATGACTGAAACACCTGGAAATGACTGGGATGACTCAACTGGGGCAGTAGTTCGGTGACCACAATTCTAGCTGTCATGTTACTTCTCTTGGTTCTTTGCCAACTTAATTTGCTAAAGATGGAATATCAAAGACGTTTTTTCACTTATCTGATAACTGAGCTGAAATAGTTGAAACAGCTGGTAATGGCCAATCATTCATCTCTGTAGCCAGCCTTTCTCTGAGAAAGCTTGGGCTTCCCTTCAAGCATGGCAGTTTCTGGTCAGTTGTTTATCTTACATGGTCATAAGATTCAGGACAGAGACATTGACACTGCAATGCTTTTATGAAATAGACTCAAGAGGTCCACTCAGAGGTCCCAGAACATTGTGTTCTCTTTTATTGGTTTTAGCAATAAAGCAAGTCACTAAAATAATCCAGATTCAGTGGAAAAGACTGTCATTCACCTCTCAATAGAAGAAACAGCAAACAAGTGATAGACATTTTTAATCAACCAAAACAATTAAAAAGTTGATACAGAAGAACATAATGGGATATCAAAAATGTTTAATAAAAAGAAAGGCAAAATTAGGAGGGGAACATAGGAAGAACACATCAGACAGGAAAAATAAACAGCAAGGTGGTAGCCAAGTAGTACAGTAATTATAATAAATGTTAATGATCTAAACATACTAGTTGAAAGACAAAATTATTTAGGATTAAACAAAATTAGTTACAAATATATTTTGTTTAAAATAGTCTTTACATAGGATATAAAAAGCTTGAAACAACAAGAGAGAGAAATGAATTATAGTAGATGGGTTAGAGAGAGAAGATGGGAGTGGAGGGGAGGGGAGGAGAAGGGGGTTAGTAGAAGATAGGAAAGGCAGCAGAATACAACATACACTAGTATGGCAGTATGTAAAAAAGTGGATGTGTAACCGATGTGAATCTGTAATATGTATATGGGGTAAAAATGGGAGTTCATAATCCGTTTGAATCAAATGTATGAAATATGATATGTCCAGAGCTTTGTAATGTTTTGAACAACTAATAAAAAAAAGATAAAAAAAGGGATAAAAAATTTAAAAAATAAAAATCCAAATTGGAAATATACAAAGTTAAATTGTCTTTATTTGCAGTTGATATGGTTTTATATGTAGAAAACTCTAAAGATTCCATCAGAAAGCATTAGAATAAATGAATTTATTAATGTTGCAGGATACAAAAAAAATCAACACGCAAAAATAGTAGTGTCTAAATACTAGCAATAAACTATCAAAAAAACAAATTAAGAAACAATACCACTTGTAATAGTTACCAAAAATACTTAGGAATAAATTTAACCAAGGATGTAAAAGACTTGTATGCCAAAAACTATTTTAGAAGAAAGAAATAAATGAAAAGATATCCCAGGTTCACAGGATATCATGTAATATCTATGTTATATGGATTATCATGAAAATATCAATATTACTCCAATCTATCATTTAAGTTGCTGACTCTAAATTCATATCCTTATTTGGTTTCCATTACAAACCAGTTCCTTCACTGGAACCCCCTTGAAGTGTATCTCGGCAAGTGCTTCTACCCAGCTTCCTCCAACATCATGCTACCTTCTATTTTGGGTTTTTCAGAAGTTAGATAATATTTCTAATCTGCTTATGAAATTCCTTCTGTCTGTTATGAATTAACCTTCTACATACATCATATCAATGGGATTGTGGAAGGATAGAAGATTTAAAAAAATGTGTGCTCAGAATATGAATCCACACACACTTATTTGTTTTTATACTTGGTTTCTCTGCTGTAGCCCCTTTAAGGCAAGAATGTATTGTGAAATGCCTAGCAGTGACAGGATTACATAATTATTCAAAGTCACATGGCCAGTTGGGTGTGGGAGAAAAAAGTTGCAAACGATAATGCTTAAGCCTAGATTGTGAGTCTGTTGACAGACACAAAGAAATATTTTAAAAGAAAATTACTGTTTTAGTGTTGGAAGTCAACATAGTTATGCCCCAGTTTAAGTTTTATGGCTTTTTTAGAAACAAAAGAGGTAAACAATAGAAGCTATTTTACAACATTTGATTAACTGATACAAAGGTGTTTTTATGTGCTAGAAACAGAGCCACAAAAAACTTCACATAGAATCGCCAGGAAAGATCAAGTATAGCTGCTATTAGAGAGAAAAAAGTGAAGTCACTTTAGCTCTTAGCTCTCACCCAATCAGGTAAGCCAACTTGGAATATTCCTCACAACTATGAGACCAACTCTGCCCAAGGAGGAGTACAATAAGTAACTAACACCTTAATCCAAATGCAATATATTATTAAACTACAGGCTCCTCAAGGGTAAATATGTCACAAATCTGATTCCCTAGTCAAAAAAACATTTAGAGGTGAAGGTCAAATGAGCCTATTAGTGATACTTTTACTGATAGCAGCCATTATCAAAGTGGCTAGTTCCATTGAGGAACTTAATATTTGTGAAACTAACAAAATAATTGTGTTTTTCTGAAATTTAAAGTCTGCTTTTAAAGTAAAGAGTAAAACACAAAACCTGAAAAACTAAAAAAACTACTGAATTCTACACTTTACACAGGTTAATTTTATGACATATAAGTTATAATCTCAATAAAGATGCTAAATAAACTCACAAGAAATTTTTTCCAGGCCCTCTGAATGACTTCTGCAGCCCTTTCTTTCCTTATATTTTCTATTTCTTTTTTCCCAGGCATTTGAAAGTCCTAAAATAAAAAAAAAACAAAGGATTTATTTAAAATCATTTTCTATACTCTACTATGAAACTGACACTAGAATACAGCAGAAATTTAATAGAGTTGTATGAGTGAAAAAATGAGATTTGGTATCAAAATATTTATAATAGGGCTGGGGATGTGGCTCAAGTGTAACACGCTTGCCTGGCATGCTCGGGGCCCTGGGTTCGATCCTCAGCACCACATAAAAAAATAAAGATATTGTGTCCACTGAAACCTGAAAAATAAATACTAAAAAGTACTTTCTCTCTCTCTCTCTTTAAAAAATATTTAAAATAAAAAGTAGTCTCTTATTATTGATTATCTAATTTTGTTCCAATTTATTATTTCTAATCCCAACAAGGACACTAAATAGCAGAGTTTATTAATATGCTTATAGTAGAGATGAGAAGACTGAACTAAAGGCTTAAGATCAAGTAGTAACAAAGCCAGTATTGAACTGAACTCCAGTCTGTTGTGGAAGTCCATGGTCTTTACATACTTTCTTGTTTGCTTGAAATAAAGTTCTCTTAATATGCAGAGAAACAGATACATTCCCAAAGTTGGATAGGCTTCTAATCTAGAATTAGAGGTGATAGAAGACTTTTTCAGTATAGCCCTTAACCACATTGACTATTTAATAAATCATACATTATTTTTTAAATGAAGCTTTACTATTAAGGAGCAAAACAAAATCACTATTTCTAATTCACAATTTTTATTCATACCATAAAGAATTAATAATAAAAGTCAGAAAGATATTCTAGTTTTTGACTGTGTTAGTCATATTTTCATCACTGTGACCAAAATACCTGACAAGAACAACTTCGAGGTGTAAAGATTTATTTTAACAAATGGTTTCAGAGGTTTGAGTTTATGGTCAGCCACCTCCATTTCTTTGGGCCTAAGGCAAGGTAGAACATCATGGTAGAAGGACATGGTAGAGGAAAGCTCCTTGTCTCATGCCAGTCAGAAAGCAGAGAGGGAGAAGAAAGGAACCTTTCCAAAGTATATCCCCAATGCCTGCTTTCTCCAACTAGATGCCACCTCCCTGTTGTCCATTCAGCCATCAATAGATTAATTCACTGACAAGGATAAAGCACTCATGATCTGATGATCACTTTCCCAAAGCCCCACTTCTGAACACATGAGACCTTAGGGAACATTCTAGATCCAAACTATAACAGACTCCCTTAAGAAATGTCAGTAAGCTAAATTCATATCTGTGCTGCTTAAATATTTATTACCCTAACAAGCATCTCCTTCAAAATTAAATGGTTAGATCGAAAATTAAGACTATTCCAGTATTGCTCCAATGTAATCAAAAGAGAGAAAGAAGAGCAAGAATTTTCATTTGTGTAGGTTATATAAATTATGTACAAATTTACTCATTTTTCACTGTATATATTGAGAAGAGGTATACATAAAATTTACAAGTAACTCATTGCTTTCGGTAGTTTTCTTACACTAAACCATAGAAGGAATGCTGATGAAGTTGAGACTAAAGATGTGGTTTAGATTTAGTTCATGCTGCTATTTAATGTAACCTTGGACAAACAGCTTAACATCTTTAGGCTTCAGTTTCAACATTTGTAAATGCAATAAATTAATTCCAAAGGCTATTTCAGTTTTACAACTTTTTGAATTTACTTTATAAAGGGCACAATACTCTAAAGGTCAAATATAAAGAAAAAGGGTGCTGCACTGAAGACAGGGAGACATATGAATTTTAAATTCTGCTTAAAATTTTAAAATTTTGAACTGTTGCTTATAAATGAATAATATGTATTTACAAGTGCCAAAATCCTGATTTAAACATATACACATCTAATATATGCATTGTATTTAGAGGTGCAGAGACCAAACAGTAAAACTATCTAAACATATACCATTTACAGAAAAAAATGAAAGAAAAACCTATTTATATATTTTCTTAATCTATTATTCTCTCTGATGTTTGAAATCATTTGAGATTTTAAAACTAAAGATGTTTTTCTGTGTATATTGTCAATTTTTTATAATTGAATTTTTTTTAAGAGTAAGAAGAAGGTTCTCCACGAGAAGTAATTTGTCTTTTTTTTCTTTCCGTACAAAGAGTCTTTACAATATAGAAGGCTGTTAGAGTCTATAAACAAGTCAGGATGGCACCTGGCATTTTGCCAGAGAAATGTTAGAGTCTGTAAACAAGTCTGGATGATGCCTGGCAAAATGCCAGAGGGAGTGGTTTGTGAAGTAACGCCAGTGAGACATTAAGTGTGGAGATTCCTGATTGGTTGACTGCTGTATCTAGTTTATGTTAATTAGATACGCTGTGTGGAATGTATAAATACTGCTCCTGTCCTACAATAAAGGGCTCCCACTCCTGCTGTATCAATGTACACAAGTTGCTCGTGTCACCCCCCGGGGTTATTTTGCTGCGGCCGGACTGTGGCAGAAGGCATAAGGAGATAAGTTAAGTCTTTGGTCTTTGAAGTAAGTCAGACCAGTGTTTTTTGCTTTTTGAGTTAGGATTTCTCTGTTGCCCACACTGGTCTCAAATTCCTGGGCTTAATCAATTCTCCTGCTTTAGCCTCCTGAGTGCTGGGATTACAGGCTGTACCACCCCTCCAGGGTTTAAAGCAACAAATTCTACCTCTTACTTAGCTGTGTAATCTTGCACAGTTACTTAATTTATTCAAACTTCAGTTTCCTTATTTGTAAAACATGAGGACTCACAGTACTACCGCATTGAATTGTGAAGGTTAAATCAGATAATACAGGTGAAGCATTTAGTACGATTTCTGGCCTACCAAAACCACTCAATAAATCACATCCATTATGACAATACAAATTATTTTCCAAAATAATAACTATTCATGTGCATTATTCTATTTAAAAAACTAATGTAACTAGAGCCAGGTGTGATGGCACATGCCTGTAATCCCAGCAACTTGAGAGACTGAGACAGGAGGATTGCGAGTTCAAAGCTTCAAAGCCAGCTCAGCGACTTAAGGAGGGCCTCAGCAACTTAGTGAGGCCCTATTTCAAAATAAAAAATTAAAAAGGGTTGGGGTGTTGCTCAGTGGTTAAGTTCCCCTAGGGATTCAATCCCCCGTATAAAAACACAACCCCAAACCTCACCAATGTAACTAAATATTTCAAGCACACTTACTTTTTTAAATTTACAAATAACTATTAGAACAAATGAGAGTAAAAAATACTATGGGGGGTGGTAAAAGATTTGTTAATTTTGATCAAAGAATACTTTTCTGACAAATATACTTTCTAGCCATCAGGTAGAGAAATATAATTTATCTATGTATTATATAACACTTCAGGGGGAAAAAAATCAATGTAATTTTTTTTTTTTTGTACCAGGGATTGAACTCAGGGGCACTCAACCACTGAGCCATATCCCAGCCTTATTTTGTATTTTATTTAGAGACAGGGACTCACTGAGTTGCTTTAGCACCTTGCTATTGTTGAGGCTGGCTTTGAACTCACAATTCTCCTGTCAGCCTCCTGAGCTGCTGTGATTACAGGTGTGCGCCACCACACCTGGTAGTTTTAATAATTTTTTAAAAATATTTTTTTATCTTTGTTTATTCATTTTTATGTGGTGCTGAGGATCAAACCCAGTGCCTCACATGTGCGAGGCAAGCACTATGCCACTGAGCCACAACCCAGCCCCATAATTTTTAAAAATATTGTCGCTATAACATTAAAAGAGACAAATACAGAAGACAGCTTTGCCATCTTAGATTTATCATAAAAAACCCAAAATTTCAAATTTAAAATGTGAGACAAAGAGATAATTATAATGAGTTTTAAGACATGGAATTCACGTCATTATTACACCTTAGTTTTCTTGTCCATGTTCTTTTTCAATGGAAAAAATGAAAGAATACAGAATACAGTTTATTTATACACAAAAGACCATAGAATAATAATAGTAGCATTCAAGATACTGGTAGATATCTTTCCCTAACATCCCATTAACATTTAAAATACAAAATTATTCATGATACTATATAGATGTTTACTTTAAAAGTTATGATGTAAATAACAGATAAATTCAAACAATAGAACTATAAAGAAAAAAGCAAAAATCATCCACTCCCTTCTCTTCTTTGAGGAGTGCATTCTTCAAAGGTCATATCTGTTGATATGTGATTCTTCCAGACATTTTCTTATATCTTTGAAAATACTGGTGCTGAGGTTGTGTCTCAGTGGTGGAGCGCTTGCCTAGCATGTGTGAGGCACTGGGTTCGATTCTCAGCACCATAAATAAATAAATAAATAAATAAATGTCTATCAACAATTAAAAGTTAAAAAAAATACACGTATGTGCAAACACACTGTATACACAAGTATGTATTCATATTTTATATATACATCTTATATAGCCACATGTACATGAACACATATAGTTTTGTTTGCATTAATGTGATCAAACTATACATGTTTAAAAAATTATTTTTGTAGTTATAGATGGACAGAATGCCTTTATTTTATTTGTTTATTTATATGTGGTGCCGAGGATGAAACCTTGTGTCTCATGCATGCTAGGCAGGTACTCTACCACTGAGCTACAGCCCCAGCCCCTAAACTATACATATTTTTTTAACTTAATCTGTGTTGGAAATTTTTCCATGTTAATGCATATAGATTTTGTTCATTCTTTTGTAGTTGCATAGTATTCCTGGGTGTGGATATGTTACTCTTTCCTCCATTATTGGACATTCAGGTTTTTTTCTGTTACAAATCCAAAATGAATTATCTATATACGTATACTTGTGTACACATGCAACTATTTTTGTTAGCTTTTCAGACTGCTTTGACAAAAGGTATGCACATACATATTTGCACTGACTTTCTCTGGAAGGGAATAAAATAAACTGCTGAGATTGATACATCGGGGGAGGATCCAGCAGATTATGAAATCTAAGTTCAGGAATAAAACACATTATATTCTGCATACTTTTATATTGATTGGTCTTTTC